GGCTTTTGAATTGTAGAAGCGGTCAAGAGCCATCTTGTATGCCTTGTGGCTGTCCGGGAGACGCATTGTGCCGTAATTGATGTTCTTGACCCAGATGTTGCCTCTCACTTCACCGTTGCCAGCATAGTTCTTCATGGTTCCCTTCTCTTTCTCAAGCTCGCCGGCCTTCTCTTGCAGCATCTTATCAGTCTCGCGCTCCTTCTTCTGGGCTTCGGCGACGTTGTTCTTGAGATCCACAATCTCTTTGTCAAGTTTGTTCTTTTGGTCGGCAGCCTGGTGCTTCGTGTCCTCGAGCTCTCTGATCTTGTTGTCTCTCTCGCCTTCAGCCTTGGTGCAAGCCTTCTCGAGTGTGTCAATCTTGGCTTTGAGCGTGGTGCTCTCATCTCCGCTCTGCACCAACTTGCCTTCCAGGTCTTTGATCTTGGCCTGAAGCTGCCTCTCCATCTCATCTTTTTGTTGCTTCAGTGTCTTGTTGAGTTCTTCGGACACCGATAGCTTTTCAGCCATTTCATTCCGCTCCCGGAGTGCCTTGATCTCGTCTGCCTTGGCGTGCTCAAGCTGATCAGCCATCAGCGCCTCTTTCACCTTTGTAGCTTTGAGCTCGGCTTCAATGATCTTGAGTTTCTCGTCCAGGATAGCGCGCTCTTTATCGGCCTTCTGGTACTCATCTTCCATGTCCTCATACTTCTTCGTCATCCTTGCACACTCTTGCGTGGCTTCAAGGAGTTCTTCAAATGCCTTGGACTCCTTGGCAATGGCTTCGTTTCGTCGAGCCTCGGACTCCTTCAGCTGAATGTAGAGCTGCTCTCGCTCGATCACAAGGACGTCCTTGTCATGGCGTAAGTCTTCCATCTTCTTCAGAGTGCTTTGGACGTCATTCTCAGCATGCTGCTTAGCCTCGACAGCCTTCTCAAACTCGATCTTGAAGTGATGGGCCCGGCCGTCTGCCTCCTTCAGTTGCTCGACAAGCTCGTCCCGAAAATGCTCGAGGCTGGATTGGCTATGCACGGCGTAGTCGCGCTCCTTGATGACAATTTCGAATCGATATTGCAGCGTTTCCAAGTTCAGCTGGCAGTCCTTGAGCAAGGTTTGGTCCCGGACCAGCTCGGTCTTTGTACTCTGGTAGTCGAAGATGGCACTGTCCCGCGCTCGAATAGCACCATTCCGGTCCTCGATCGCCTCGTCCATACGTTGGACCGCCAAGTCACGTTCGTGAATAGCCTCCTTGCGCTCTGCAATGGCCTTGTCTCTTGCCTCTTTCGCCTTGATGAGTTCTTCCTTGATCGACTTGAGCTCCGTTTCCAGAGAGCCACACTTGTGCTCGATGCTGATGAATTTCTGTTTGATCACTTCAAGCTTGGAGGAAACTTCCTTGAACTGCATGCGGGTGACTGCGAGCTCTGTGGCCAAGGTATCCTTTTCTGTGAAGAGGACAGACATGGAAGCTTTGAGGATCTCGAGCTCTTTGACGGCGGCGTTGTACTCCTCAAGGCGGATCCTGGAGGTGGCTTCAGCCTCAACCAGTCTCGAAGTGATGTCCACCAACGTTGCCTCCATGGACACAATCTGTTTGTGGAGAACACTCGTCTCTTCCTTGAGTTCCATACATTCGTGCTCCTTCTCGAGGAGGTGACCACTCAAAGCTTCGAGCTCGATCTCGGCACGATCTCGTGCTTTTGACATCTCGTAGAGCCTGGTCCTCAACGTGACGCACTCTTGAGTCGAGATCTCAAACCGGGCGGTGATATCCTTGTATCTCTGGCATAAACTGTCGTACTGCTCTTTGTGGAGGAGCTTCTCATGGGTTGCTTTGTCGAGACTTTCGACTATCTCCCGGATTCTGAAGAGCATATCGTCGCTGGTCTTCTGTACCGATCTGAGATGCACCTGGATATCCGAACGGAAGGAGACCGCCTCCCTATGATAAGTTGAGCGGACGGGGGCATGGGCGCAGATCAGGGTGTTGACAGCATCATCGGACGCTTCTGACTTGTTTTCTTCGGGAACGGACTTGATGGAAACTTGCGGGATCAGTTCAAACTTGGGCCGACTTGCAAGTAAAGGATCCTCCACCACAGACTTGACCTCAACTTTGGGCAGCTTGTCAAAGCTGGAACCTTCGGCAGTGGTAGGAAGAGCATTGGGTACGATGATGGAAGCCATGTTGTCCAGGACGGAGCAACGTATTGCGACGTAGGATTGAAAAAGAAACACCAAGAGGAGGCAAAGAAACGTCGGTGGTGATACAGAGTGTTTGTCAATGTGTTGATGCAGGTGAACAGATGCAATGGAGGAGAGGAACGAGGGTTATTTATACCAACCATTTGCTCAGAGTTGCCTGTTTCCTTAGAAGGCCCGGAGAGCTCAAAAGCTTTAGGTGGTTCCAGACTGAGCTCGCCCATCTCTTTTGCGGTATTCGTGTCCTCTGTGTCAGCTCCAAGCCAGAGATTGCCACAGACATATCCACCATTTCAATCGAGACGCATGAGGGGAATTGCGTTTCCTGTAACGGGAGCAAATCAGGTAAAATGCATGGCCACATTAATGCTCCAAGGCTGGCTGAGCACGGGTCTGGAGCTTCAGTTTGCGCCTGAGGCTGAAGACTGGACTGTCGCATGGTACGCCTCAGCCAGCCACCATCACGTGGCTGAGACCCTGAAGCACTATTTCTGTACTCAAGCAGAACGGAGGCAACTTAGTGGGGTCAGTTGTTGCGAAAAAGGGGATCGACTCTAATGATGGCTGGCACATCCTTGACAAAGTCGGTCTTCTGACAAGCACCCGGCACCCTGTACAGCACGACTCTCAGCTGTATCAAGGCAGGAGGACTAGACTTGGTCACCAAGGGTCCTGGATTATCATCTGAGTCGTTGTCCGCTGCTTAGGGCACTTTATTGCTCTTTCTGTCACAACTAGCAGTCTTAGTTGTACGAGTGGATGGACAGCTGAAGCACCTGCACCTCGCTTGGAGCATTTTGGCTTGAATCTGGGCTTTAGCCAGGAGGTCTGCCAATAGCTGCTCCAGCGACCATTTCAGCCATGTATTGCCGATCGGGTAGACTAGAAGCTGCTGGGAATGAGCCGGACCTAATGCATGTAGGCTGTCGTTTCAGATCTTCCTCGATTGTAATCAATGCGAAATGAATTGAAGTGACGAATGTTGAGAATGATAGAAGCCTAGATTTGCACTTGCTACTGGTACATTGCGGGCCGCTCCTCCCGAGCCTAACGACAGCCATGCACGCCATGCCGCTTTAGATTTTGTTTTCCCCGTGATCGCGAAGACCATAATGACGTTTTGCTCCAGCCAGCGCTTGGCATCGTCTTTTGAATGTGTCGTCTTGTCATTTGAAACGGACACTCTCACTCACCCATCATCTCACCTCGAATTACCACCAACTCACTCACCCGAGACTTAGGAGATTAGGCATATCAATCAAGCCACAGTCCTCCTCTGAAAGAAATCATGGCCCTGCCTATGCCCGAACCAACTAACCCGCCACTCCCGCTTCTCGATTACAAAGTCCTCTCCTTTGACGTGTACGGCAGTCTGATCGAGTATAAAGCGCACATTCTAGACTCGTTTCAGCCCCTCCTCTCTCGTCTCCCGCCATCGTCGCCCTTTCTCGATCCTACGCCTCTCACGACAACCGTCCCTGACTCCGCTTCCGTTGGCTCCATCGAGTTTCTGAAGCTGTTTCAGCGCCAAGAAGACGCCATCAAGCTGGAGAAGCCTGTCAAACGGTTCGACAAGATCCTAGCCGAGATATGGAGACGGATTGCCAAAGAACTGGGGGTGGAAAGTAGTGAAGATGAAGCCAAGCACTTTGGAAGCGTGGCTGTCATTTCTGGGTGGCCCACGTTCCCAGGAACCCTTGACGCTCTGAAGAGACTAAGTAGGCACTACAGGCTTGTGGCTCTCTCCAACATTGATTCATTTGCCTGGCACACTACTTCAATCTCGGCGGCAAGTCGTCTCCAAGAGGTCGGTTGGTGGAAACTCTTTACTGCAGAGAACTTTGGCGATGATCCCTCCCGCGCGGATGACGCAAAACTGGAAACCCTGATCCGGTTTTGCGCTCAATATGGTGTCAAGAAGGAGGAAATTCTTCATGTTGCGCAGAGTCTCGGCCACGATCAAGCTCCTGCGAAGCGGTTAGGCCTAAGCTCGGTGTGGCTGATTGGAGATGGGCCGAAATGGGGAAAGGAGGCAGAAAGCAAGATGGCACTCGAAAAGAAGCTGGTGGGATATGCGTGGAGGTTCCAGAATCTCAAAGAGTTCGCAGATGAGGTGGACAGAGAGGCGGCCAAGTAGCGTCAGTGGACTGGGAGGTCTCGTCTACGAATCAAACGATCCCGAAGGACCGAGACTTGTTCTTTCAGCATTTATGCCTTACTCACGGAAGAAACAATGCAGTTATGCTCATTGCGCTATTGTATGGGGACGACTTTTCAGTCTCTCGAAAATCTCGTGTTTCTAACCAGCATAGACTCGAGTATCAATCATTCATGGACAGATTGAACAATCTCTTTTCATTGCTATCGGTTGTGAAAGGCGGGACTGAGACCCGGTGACTTGACGACCCGCTCTACTGGAGTTACTGGAGACAAACTCCTTATTGTCGACTGTCTGTCAGCGGGTGTGAAGTGGTTTGTAAGGCACGCACAACCGACGATTGCGCTCGGGAATTTGGGTCTCTCGATGGAGGTTTGTGGCCTGCGGAGGCGGCGGGTCCATCTTTGGCGCGTCGACTTCCATATCAGAACAAGCCGCATCATTGACGATTGGACAGGATTATGCTCTCAAGAATGAACTCAAAGTGCTAATATTACGAGATTCACCGATACTGAGAGCCTCATTAACAATACAGAAGACCTGATTACTCACCGATGAAATGATATTTAGACTACTCAAGTCCTTTCTCGAGGGAGCATAAGAAATATCTGCCCAAGTCTTAAAGCACTCACGAAATATCCCCGGAGAATCGTCTACCTCTATCATGGCAAGCCAAACCGCTGTCGTCCTCATCGATCCTTACAATGACTTCCTCCATCCCAAAGGAAAACTTAACCCGCGTCTGGCAGAGAGCATCGCCGCCACCGGAACCATTGAGCATTTGAAAGAGGTCGTCGCCACGGCCCGCAAGAACAAAATCCCCATCTACTATTGCCTGCATTGCCAGACGGACAAATACTCGTTTCAAGGGTGGCAGATGATGAATTGGTCGCTGACGGGCCTCAAAGAGAACTTGGTCTTTGAAAAGGGCTCGTGGGGTGCACAGGTCTATGAAGGGTTGGAGCCAAACCCCGAGAACGGGGACGTCGTCGTCTCACAGCATCTCAATTCCAGGTTTGAGACCCGTCACCCTCGGTGTTTTCCTGCCTTGGCTCAACTGAATCAACAGCTCTTTCCAAAATACGGACCTCGACTATCAACTCCGACAGCGCGGCATCCGCAACTTGGTCCTGGCGGGCCTTGTCACAAACACATGTGTCGAGGCAACCGCACGATACGGATATGAGCTGTAAGTTGTCCATGTGGTGACGGGAATGCAACAACGCACAATGCTGACTGTATCAAAGTGGATATAACTTGACCATGATGTAAGTTTGGATTTGCCTGCTTTCGAATTGTCTGAGGAATACCACGGCTAAGCGTCGGCACAGCTCCGATGGGACAGCTGGTTTCAGCACAGAGCAGAAAGACGTTGCCACCAAGTTGATCTGGCCGTTGTTTGCCAATAGGATCTTGACTGTCGGAGAATGGGCCAAGAGCCTGGAGTGAAAAGTAGCTACTCGTTACTGAGAAGAGGTCCTTGTGTGAACCAAGTATGCAGAGATCCGGAGGGATTGAGGGAAGAGTAGCTTGGTTCACGACGAGTAATAGAGCCTCGCAAACTGTCATTGGTTCTTGCCGGGCGCGCCGACTGCCCAATTAATCATAGCGTTGGGACAGCCGAGACTAGAGTTCTCCCTCCTGGGTGCCATCGATAACTGTGGAGGTCTGGTTCTGCCTTGGCCGCTTCTCCATCAAACCATTCGTCCCTCATGATTACTCAACAGTGGTACTCTACACCCTACACCTGTTGATAATGGGAAACAAAAAATGGCCATGGAGGAAGAGGGTATTGCAAGTTCCATCTTTCTCCTGTCGCTCTCCCTTCCCTTTTGGTCTCTTGGAAACATTAAATGGCCACCAGTTCTCCTGGGACATCGCGGCGCTGTGACGAATGCCGCCGTAGACGCAAGAAGGTAAAGATGTTTTGTGCCCCAAAGTCTATCACAGGCGCGGGATCCATGGCTAATCGCTCATGTCGTACGAGTAGTGCGGTCTGGAGGAACCAGAGTGTCACAGATGTGTCGCCGGGGGGATCAAATGCAGCGGAGTCAACAATGCCCGCATCTACGTCCACCGCAATGCACAGAACATGCGCACACTATCCCACCGCGGTGCTCTCAGGGTTTTGATGCAGAGACGAAACGCCCACTCTCAATCCAATCTAGCTCCCGAAACACAGACTGTAACCGCTGCTACCCCTCCCACGGCTCTGGAGGCTCTTCAGCAACTTGTACAAAATAGCCAGGTGGCCCTGCTGACAGGCGGTACATCCCTGACGACAAAGCCTGTAGAACTCTTCTACTCGTCCATTTTAGACGCGTTTCAGCCACGAGAGCATGTGGGAGTCTTTAGCGGCGATCGAGTGCCACAGTCAACCACCGAAGGAGATTGCTCGAGCGTGGCAGTGTGCATCCGTTCGTTGCTTCCTCTCGCCCAACAGTCCGCGCGGCACATCATGGACAAATCAATCTTCAGCCTGCTGACCATGTATCTGAGTCTCTTGGTCAAGGACCCCAAGCTGACGGAAATGGCACGAGCGGCGTATACCTCGGTGGTGCGAGAATTCCGCCTTTTCATTGGGTCTCGATTCCAGCGAGGACTATCACATGGGCAGACAAGCCATTATCAGCTTTTCCTCGCGCTGTCTACAGCCCTGCAGCTATTCGAGGTACGTAAAAGCCTTGGCCGGTCCTGATGGCCCTTCTTTTCACATTATGTTAGGTGATTGGGCTAATAATGTCAGTACGTGAATGATCTGGGAGAGATGCGATCGGGTTTCCTGGCCCATCACGAGGGAATGCTCCAACTCCTCCAGATATCCGGACCCGAAGTGTATCAGTCACCTTATCTGCTCCAGTCCTTCTCTGGACTCCGGGGTATAATTGTAAGGAGAAGCCAGTTATTGACCGACCCGGCACTGAATGCCACTCTTGTTTTTCTGTACCGAGACTTACGAATTGCCAGATATTTGTCGCTCTCCAGAGGCGGCGTCCCATTTTCCTGTCCGAACCGACGTGGATATACACTCCATTCTTTTATCGGCCCAAGACAAGGCGGGAAATCCTTCACGATCTCGCCCTGAGACTTCCTGAATTGTTACATCGGACGGATGAGCTGATCCCGTTGCTCGTGCAGACCCCTCGAGATTCGAACGGTCGAGGCGACAGCTTCCGGGAATTGACCAACGTCACGCAGAAGCTTGTCGCAGATTTTACACAGCTCAAAGCCGATCTTGAGGCATGGTTCCAAACCTTCAAGCAATCGTGCTCGCCCGCGCCTATCTACTGGACCACCGACACCGTCTTGGACAGCGCCCATTCCTACACGGACCCGATCTGCGTCCCGGACCTGCAGGATCCAAAGTACCAGCTGCGGTTCCAGGACGGCCAAAAGGCCGGCGTGCTGATCTGCTACTGGAGCTTCATGCTCGAGCTGCTCATGAGCTTGATCGACGTGCAGGCTGCCGTCTTGTCTACAATACCGGGTAAAAACGGAGAAGATATGACCATGGATCCCGTATGCGAGAACCTCGACATCCACCGCGCTGCCGCAGACGACTGCGCATTCCTGATTCTGCAGTCAATGCCGTATTTGCTGTGTTGTCTGGAAGGCGTCTTTGTGACCCAGTCGCCGCTGAGTCTTGTCCAGAGGTATTTTGCTCGGCGGGGACAATCGTCTTATCCGCTCGCGAGCGGCTTGGAACCATGAATTAACGCTCCTAAAGGGCGAACTTGAGGAGAAACAAAATCTTCGCAGGTTAGAGAAAGAAGTCAAGGAGCTGCGCTATGTTGGGACTAGGGAGGCAGAAGTGTCACGAAGAAAATAGAGAGAGCCGAACCTCGCCGTCGTGAACACGAACCCTTACCAACGCCTTTGACACTGCCAGAATGAATACGGCTTGTACTTCGTCTATCGAGCATGAAATCACAGAAGAACAAAACCAGCACATCTCAAACCCGTGCTCACGGCTCACGGCTCACGTCAAGTATATCCAAACGAAGTCCGAACCCCCTTATTCGCACGCCGACTCCTCCTCACCGCCGTCCCGTCCTTCTGCTTGAGACTCTGCTCCGCATCTTGCTGTTTGACCTGTCGTTCGATTCTCTCCACCGCGGCGGCGACTTTACCTCCGTGTTTTGCCGCCTTCTTGTCCGATAGCGAGGGATGCCGCATGCTAGTCCCTTGGACCTGTTCTGCTCCCGTTACTGCTCCTTCAGCAGCCTCGTCAGCAGCTTCTCTCGCCTTCTTTTTGGCCTTTTCCACCAACCTCCCCACCGACGCCGTCGGCTTCCTGGTCACGTTCCGACTTTTTGGTTTCGCCGGCGAGCCCGTCGCCGAGCGCTTCTCGACTTTCGCGCCGTGCACGGCCGACTTGCGCCGCTCGCCTCGCTTGGGTTGCTTGATCATAACAACCCCGTCATCTAGAATGGGAGGAGGAGCTGGTCTTGTGGGCGCCGACACGACGGGGCGGTGCTGATCAAGGGAAGGGATAGGTTCAGAGGTTGGCGGCGGGAGCGACATTTCTCGTCCAAAGTCTCCTGGCAAGAGTGTTGGGGAAATATCTTTCATCTCGACATCTGTGTTGTCCCGTCTAGACAATGGAGATGGCGTCAATGAACGGTCGACATATGCGGGTGTCAACTCGCGTGCCCAGTTCGGTGGGGGTAGCTCGGGCTCGACACTCTGGCGGATCTGATCTTGTTCTGGTGCTGGCGCTGGTGGTGGCGGTGGCAGTCTCTGCTCGATGCTCTGTTGGATGTAGTCCTGAAGCACATCTGCCGCGTAGGGTGTCGACGGCGTGGAATCGACAGGAGGCCGCGGAGTGTCTGGACGACTTGGGGGCATCGAGCTTCGCTGGCTGAACGCTGGCGTTGTTGGCTGTTGCATTGTTGGGGGTACGGACCCCTTTCGACTGTATACTCCCGCACTCCCACGTGGCGACGACGAGACGGGCCTAGGGCTCTCAATCAACTCTGTCAGCTTGAGGTGCAGCGGGCGATCGTCCTGGCGCGATACCAAAGTCGGCGTTCGTACCACTCTGACAGATTCTTCCTCTCCGTGCAATGCCCTCTGGTCCGTTTCATTCTCTTCTTTGCGACATGTGCAAGTTCCGGGAAAGCAGGAACAGTCGCGTCCATCTATGCAGAGACATGGCTGAGGAGGCGGATGCGGCTGATTGTCCACCTCCATTCCCCTGGCTGCCGAACATCCTTCCTTGCATCCACATCGGCCAGCCGGACAGCAGCAGGTCCCTTCAGATGGACAGCGGCAAGGCTGCGGCGCCTGGACCTCTGACGCCGTCTTCTGCGGGTCTCCAGCGAAGGTTTCACCCTGCTTCCATACTTGAGTCTGTGGTGGTACGCCGTCGTCAAGCGCATGCACATCACAGTCGGCACAAGCACACTGGCCCGGCCGACATTCGATCTTTCGACCCTGGATGGCACAGGTGCAACACTTGACAGGCTCTGGGACCACCTCGCGAGAGTGCTCGGCACATGTCTCGCAACGACACAGGCCCGGGAGACATGAACACGGTTTCTTCATATCCGCGCAGCCGCAGCCTTGGTTGTCGGCGTGTCCTTCGAAACCCCATTTCCCCTCCGCCTCGCTCTGCAACTGCCTCGCTTGTTCGGTGGTGTGGTCGCAGCCCGAACACTCGCAGTGCGCGGGATGGCAGGCACATTCTGCAGTGGCGCAGCCGCAGGGGCAATTGTGAAGGCTTCCAGATCTGGTGTCTGGATATGGTCGTCGTTCTTGAAGCTGATCGTTCGGTGTCGAGACTTTGTAGAGTGGTATTTCACCTACCTTGCAGCCCGTCCCTTTTTTTTCTGGTGTCTCCCTCTGCAATAATACCCTCTCCGTCTCCTTCTCTTCTTCTCCTTCATCTTCATCATCCTCCTTCCTTGCCAAATCCATGTCATATTCGCCCTGACCACGCACAGGCTGCACCAGTTCCACCCCCGTCTCGGACAACGAGACGTTCAACTGCCCCTGCAACTGCTGACTGAGTCCGCAAGGAGAAGGCCGCTCGAAACTATCGTCGTCGTGATGATTATGATCAGAAGGCAAGGCGACGACACCAGCTGGACTGTCGTGCACTACCCCCGCGGCGGCATGCATCATCATCGACGCCTGGCCCTCCTCGTCGTCTCCGAGATCGCTGCTGTCTTCAAACAGCGAGTCGAGGTCCGAGGACCGCCTCGCGCCCCGGTGTCCGATGCTCGAGATGATGGGCGAATCCGAAAACGTCGGGCTGTAGCTGAGATCGTTGGGCGGCTGGGCCTCGTGCCACCGCGACCGGTCGATGTCGTCGGGATACTGGGCCGCGGCCGCCACCATCCCAGCTATCTGCATGCGTTGCTGATTCGATGTCGGAGTACTGACGCCCCAAGAGTCGTGGGGATTGTATGTTCCAAAGCCGCCGCCATGGCTGGATACTCCTTGCGCCGAGTAGATCGGGCTCTGATGCTGATGCTGATACTGATGTGGCGGCGGCGGTATTGGTCCTGAAAGAGCATGCTCGCCATGTACTTGAGCTCCGTCCGCGACCGTGGGAACCCGTCCTTCGTCCAGTTGATAGAGTGTCGAACTGCCCATTTCGTCGTAATGGAACTGCACCCCGTCCTTCAACCACGACGACGGCACCATCTTTTTTTTTCGCCTGTTTTCTCCACGTGTAGGACTGACTGCCTTTGTTAAAGGGAATACCAATTTCAACTACCGATACCGACACCACCCCCGCACTATCGGCTCAGTACTGCGCTTCTGTTCAAAGATTGCATTGTATATCGAAAACACTCTGATATCAGGTCTCACGACGACGACGACCCACGATGCAGTTATCTCGCGTGCGGCTCACAAACGAGAAATCAGATGGTCAACAATTAAATCAACAGACTTTTCGATGGAAAACTTGTGTTGTCGAGGGTATGCCAGGTGTGTATCTATGTGCATGTGTGTATGTATGTATGTATGTACCTACCGTGGGCAACCACCTGGATCAAGGGGTTCAGGAATGTGGTGTGAGGGCGGGCGGTAAATTAGTGTCTGGCCAGCAGCCAGCAACGTGCATTCCACGGAGAAAAGAGGAACCAAAGCGCAAAGGGCCGACAGAATGCATCATGCACGGCAGGACATGGTGAATGGGATGGAAAGTTTATAACTAGAGACAACTCCCCAGTGAGGAGCGACGGGCTGTTCTATGTGGAATGGGCAGAAGATGGATCATTGCGTAACTGTGATGGTTGCTCTAGCATGGCTTTTCGAAGGCTGGATACTAAAGAGGTTGAAAGGGACAATCAATGCAAGGGAGGACTATCCAGGGTGATGGCTTACGGTTCGGCAAAGCAAAGCAGTGTCCATCCAAGAGCCTCACATCGCCCAAGACCAGCGCTCAGTCTTCTGCAGCCAGCTAGCTCACCTACCACCCCCCCACCCTCAATGTTGATATCGTGTCGAGCAGGAACAATGGCAGGAGAAAAAGAAAAAAAAAAAACAATCACCCCGGCTGAATCACTGCAAGTCTCCATCAACAGTGTCTGGCGGCGACAGATCTTTCCTCGCAGCAATGAGCGTCCACCGCATGCAGTCCGCCCAGTACATTCCACCGACCCTGGTCCACTGGCCGAGGCCTCTCTTCTTTGCTTCCGAATTTGAGAAATCGCCTGTTGATAGTCAGTAAAAAAAAAAAACACACATCTTCCCACAAGTCTTTGGGGTCGAGCAAAACTTACATTCTTTGGTGATGTGATTCCAGAACGTGGAGACGCATTTGTCCTGACCATATTTCTTCATCGAGACACCGTTGACCAGTGGCGTGCCTGTCGGCGAAGGACACCCGTTGTAGTCGAAGGCGAGACCAATGGTCAGATCATAGTCGAATGCCGAGTCCCCGTTCGATGGAAACAGATCACATTCACCTGGGGACACCACCTCTGAGCTTGACGTAGCGGCAAATGAAAGTCCCTGGTAGAGAACGATGTCGCGGTCAACCAGCTTCTTGCAAAACTTCTTGATGGGGCCTTTGTCCAGCTGGAATGGCGAGAAAGGGAGACCCGAGTTCCAGACGGTTGCGACCGCACTCGTGGCTTGTCCGCTGACAGGGGTGGCACAGTTCACAACCCCGGCCTTGGCTGGGCTTGTCGTGGTGGTGAAGGCAGTCCAGTGGGCACAGTACGAAGTCTGCTCGTCTGCATTCGGGACAGTGGTTGACACAGTCTTGAGGCCCCACGAATCTGTGCAACTTGCACTACCAAACGCAGCCTCTCCGTCACAAGTGAAGATCGAGACCTCGCTGTAGCTTCTGGCTATACTTGTGAGGGTTGGATGTGCTCCGGTCCCAGCAGAGATCCGGGAAGTCGAAGTGGTTCTGCTCACCAAAGAGACCCCCGATGAACCAAACGTCCAGGGTCCACTCGGGTCCAATGTGGGAAGTAGCCTCGATGAGACTAGTGTAGAAGAAACCATTACACCTCCAGAGTAGACTTCGCTGAACACGTCGCCGTCGTCATCTGTCACTAACACTGTGAAATCCCGCAGGCTGCTTGGAAGGGTCGGCGTTGTGATGGGAGGGCTAGAGATCGTCGAACTATGAGATGTCAAGGACGTCGAATGCGACGTGCTCGTGGTAGTGCTCGAAGTGGTGTTGCCCATGGTCTGCGTCGTGTTTGACGAGAAGCTGAAAGTACTGAATATCGTCGTTGCGTTGTCGGGGATTGGTGGAAACTGAGTAATCCACGAGGCAATCTGAGCAGATATCGCTGGGTCATTCCACCAGGGACTGACAGTGCAGGCTGGAGCCGTCGTTGAGGTGCTGACAGTGGTGGTCGTGAACGTGTCCGTCCCAGAGCACTGTGTAACAGTCGTGCATGACCGAGTGCACGATTGAGTGCCAGAGGCTGTACCATTCGCGCTCAAGGTCGAGCAAATGTCGAGGCAGGAAGAGAATGCCGTGGACGAGCAGGAGCTGGACGAGCTCGTTGAGCTCGATGAGCCGGACGATCTTGAGGTACCCGACGAGCTTGGAGAATCTGTGGTCGGCGTAAATGATGGACTTGCAGAAGGGTTGTTGTTGTCAGTACAAGGCGCTGCTGAACAACTGGTCGTAGGCAAGGTCATAGAGGCCACAGGCGCAGGAGGGACTGGAGGAAGAATGGGAATCTGCATCAATTAGTCTCACAAGAAAGGCACAGGTTGAGATTTGGAATACGCACTGGTGGCAATGGAAATCCATTCGAGCCATGATCACTGCACGGTCTCTTGCATCCCAACCCGAAAATGCAACCAGCCATGGCTGCCGCCCAGTCGAGGACATCTCCACAATCACCCTGGCACAGAGGGCCGATACAACTCCAGGACCAGAACGGAAAGACAACGTAGCCACCCTCGATGCTCCGAGTGCTTTGTGAAAGCGTAGCACTCCATGTGACGTCCGTAATACTGCTACTGCCGCTTGTTCTGGACACGCCCCGCTCGGTGATAATGCTCCACGGTTCTGGTGTTGTGGTATCGGAGGTGAAGCCACTAGGGAGCGAATGCACAACGCCTGATGAACCAGTAGAAGTAGTCACAGAGCAAATCCAGCCATCCGCACAGCTTGAGCCCGTTGGCGTTTGGGCGTAACACAGCGGGTCTGCAAGCCAACAGTACGGGCAGACGCAGTTCTCTGTGCTTGCCGCGACGATTGCCCCCGACATCACCGTGGTGCTTTCCGCAACAGGCCAGGGCCAGCACCATGGAGGAAGATTGTAAGTGCTTGGTGCGGATTGATTGGCTGAGTAAGAATAGGAACATGCCATGTCGCCAGTCAGAGAGAGCATGGGAAGGGCGGATGCAGAGGTAACCGCGGGAGGAGTCATTGTGATTCCCGGAACAAGAGTGACCGTGCCACTAGATGATGGGCTTGACTCAGATACGCCTGCTGAACTAGCGATAGTGCTGGAAGAAGAGTCGTTGCTGACTGAAGTTGAATTTGTTTCTCCCGCGGAGAAGCTTGACTCAGATACAGGTGTTCCAGAATTTGACGACTCAGGAATCACGGGCACAGTACTGGAACCAGTATCCTGTGTTGTTGAGGAAACCTGCACAATACTGATTGTAGTTCGAATGACAGTCACGAATGTTGTCGAACTTAGATCAATCGTACTGGTGAATGAAGTCGTGATTTCAGAGGCAGCAGTGACATTTGAAGTCAGAGCAAAAGTGACTGAATTCACAGTCGATGAGCTCATATTGGTGTCTGGTCCTTGTGCTGACATTGTACTTCCAGCCAGTGTACTTCCAGATGGGCTGCTATTGCTTGACATGGATGGAACGATGCTCGACGTTCCATTAGCAGGGAAAGGCGGAAACATGGTCAATGTACTGTCTGAATGGACAGGTGGAGTCGTGCTCGATGTACCATCAGCGGATGAAGGTGGAACCATGGTCGATGCGCTGTCTGAAGGGACAGATGAAGCCATCGTCGATGTATCATTAGCAGGTAAAGGTGGAACCACAGTCGACGTACTGTTGTCTGCAACAGGGGGAACAACGCTCGAGGTGCTGTTGGCAGGAAAGGGCTCACTTGTGCTTGATTGTGCAACAGGTTGTGAAAAGTTTGATGCACTCATCACAGACATTGTGGCCTGAGATTCATGTTGAGTTGACTGAAAGACGACAGAGAATGAGTCTTGAGAGGCAGAGCCGGCAGTGGAAGGGAAAACTGAGGCTGCCTGAGTATCGGATGTCCCATTCGTAGAGACACTGACCAGAGACTCGCTTGACATAGAGAGAACACTGTTGATTGATTGTATGGTAGAAAGATCCCACGTTGAAGAAGACATATTGCCAGATGGAGTGAACCCTGCACTTATCGAGCCAGTTGACGACGAGTCCGACGAGGAGGAAGGTGAGCTCGAAGCCGACAGCGTGAAGGTGGAAGAACTCTGCGAGATAGACGTGCTAGGACCAAATTCACTCATGGACGACCGATCCCAAGGCACTGACGAGGTGTTGATGCCGCCATAAGTAGGCTCTGAGGAAGGAGTTGAAACAGCAACGGAAGAACTGCTTGTTGAGGTGGTGGTAATGCTCCAGTCTCCCCAAGGGTGCGGACCTGGTCACAACATTAATGGACGACTTTAAAAAGAATGGGAACACGTACCAAAATGAGGGGGCTCATGTTTGCATGTAGGACAGTCACCTGCCAGATCGACGCGCTTGATGTTCGATCCAGGCTGCGCCGCGTGAACAGAGTTGCTCAGACTCGCGACAAACCCGAGCAGAACGAAATTGATAAGAGGCGCCATGACAGCGCGCGAGCAAGTACTTGTACCGGTATGAGAATCTCACTGACAAGTGTCGATCTTCAAAGCTCACCAACCATGTAAGAGAGAGAAAAGATTGTAAGGTTAAATTCAAGATGGGATATATATATATATATGCGGCAGGCCGACAGTCCATCTTCACTTCTTGTGCCAAATTCACTGTGTGTCACTGAGAAACGCATGTCACTGGGAAAACAAGTAACGACACGGAAGTGCAGAATCTTGGTGGTGACATTGTGGTGAAGATGCGAGAGAGACAAACCTACCAGTGAGGATTCTGGAAATGGTCGCTTATCTTGTCCAGGTAGTTGTCCTCACCCTGAGTAGAGTCCAAGTTTGCCGCCGCTGGAAACATCTGGTGAAGATTTCCACGAACATCAAAGTTCCTATCTTGATGAGAATTGTTCCGGGTGACTTGACTTGATCTTCGTCTTTGTTCCGTGTTGCCAGTAACTTCAACTCCCAAACTCACCCAGACCATTCTTGTCTGTTGGGAATATGAACAACGTATCCCAGGCATGTCTCAAATTGAGCAATCTCGATCTCGTCCCCGGGGGGGAGGAGGGGAATTGTTAATATCATTTTCCTGGTCACTAATGATGTCGGTAGTGCGAACTTTGTCTGTCTTCCGAATGATTCCCATATGTCGAGACGTCGTCCCAATCGAATGCAGACCGTCGTTCACCCTCTCTAATATCTGCTCGACAGGAGTCATGACAGAGTGTTGGCCACAGGGAACACACCCAGGTGCACGAAAGACCATACCAGAACAGTCGTCAGAGGTCCGCCATCCGAAATGGTATCCGATTGCCAAAGCTAGAAGCATATGTGGTACTCAGCAGCAGGTGATCACGAGTCACTTCAACCCACCAAGGCTAGGCATCCTGTGCCTATATATGGAGTAAAGTGGCAGGGTCGGACTTCCCCGAGCATCTCAGGCAAGGTATGGCGTTCGTGGGTGTTGGAGGAAGTGTCTCGGTGTATCACTCCTCCATTGCCTCCATTTGAAACAATGGATCTTCCCATCTTTCCCCGCACACTTTGTCCAGCGTCTTCTGTGGGGAACCTCAAGGCTGACCGTCTCGAGAAGTCATGAGAAGCGGACATGGGGCTTCGGCAGATGTATCGAAAATGAACGGAGAATTGCCGAATGTCTGCTCTGGAACCCTACAGTCCTGATCGACAAGATATAAGACAAAATGATGGCCTGCCCGGTGCCAGCTCGTTGCAGCCCCCTTGAACCGCATTGAACTGCTCCAAACCCCGATTCGACAGTGAAGTTTGCAATTCGGAATCTTTGTTTGTCGCCACGATGCCCGGCCTTCTCCTAACTCCAGACACAGAATTCAAGAAGATCCAGATCAAGAAGCTGCATCCAACATTCGCGGCCGAGATTGAAGGTGTTGATTTCTCCAAGCCAATTCCGGACGACGTCTTCAGCGAGATCCTGGCAGCTTCTGCAAAGGTAAATCCCTGGGATAGAGACCATTTGCCTTGCCACAGCTTACAAGACTCTGACTGCTTCGTAGTATGGAGTGATTGTGTTCCGAAAGACCGGGCTTGACGACAAAGGACACGTTGAGTTTTCTCGCCGGTTCGGAGAGTTGGACGATATCAGGCCGTACATGACCAACGGGAGAAAGCCACGATATGAATACTATGAGCTTTTTGACGCCGGCAATATCGACCCCGATACGAACACTGTCCTGTCACCAGATAGTCCCCGCGCACAATACAACAAGGGCAACGCCCTATATCACGTCGATTCGTCGTTCAACCCCCGGAGGGCATCATACTCGATCTTGAAAGCTCACGAACTGCCACCACCAAATACAGGAGGCCATACCGGATTTGCCGATACGCGGACGGCATTTGATGAACTGGATCCTGAGTTGAAGGCAGAGCTTCTGGAGAAGAATTATATCGGTGCCCATTCCCTCTATTCGTCGCGCAAGAAGGCGGCGCCGGAATACTTCAAAGATGTCGATGTGAACAATTTTCCGATGCACAAGCATCGTATTGTGCAGAAGCATGAACCGTCAGGTCGAATGAATTTGTACATTGCCGCCCATATGGACCACATCGTGGATGTATCACCAGAGAAGTCGAAGGAGCTTATGGACAAGCTTATGGCGCACGCCACGCAGGACAAGTATACCCTCAGTATTCCATGGAACGATCCTGGTGACATGGTCATCTGGGACAACACGTAAGTTCAATCATTTCCCCTCCTTGACATCATCTAACCCGCAGCAAACGCTGATTCGAAATACAGCTGTGTTATGCATCGTGCCGAAGGCGGTTCTTTCGCAGGAAAATACCGAAGAGATCTGAGGAGGACCACAGTGCACGATGACAGTTCTGAGGCCTGGGGTCTTAACAGGGCGGGACAGGATGAGAGACCAGGCTTCGTATTGTACGACTTGTGAAACCCGATCCTAGAGACCATGCTGACTATTGACAGTTTCAACCAAGCCTTGCCAAAGGCTGTAAAGGCGTGAGAAGCATTGAAATGGTAGACCGAGGATCTAGCCTGTAGCGTGAGACAGAGTTGGGTATTGCAAGCAAGTCAGGACTAAGAACCTCGTATAATAGCGCAAGGCTGCAGCCCAGCCTTGGTGTGTCTTGGCATAGGTTATGTAACCGCAGTGGGCAATTCACAAGTATCTCGTATTCGTCCTACTCTTGTCCCGCATTGCTGCTTGACAGCATCCTGCATTGAATTTCTCGGCCACACAACTACACTGCGATTTCTTCCTGTAACTTCGTTAGACCTGAAGCATAACCATCGACGCCACAATCTGAAAAATCGTACTTTATTCCCGTCTTCTCAGGCTAACAGCCGTCGACATATCCCAGTCCCGCATCACTCCCCCGCCAACAACCAAGCATAAGCAGCAGGACTGCACCCGTCCCCTCCACGATGGCCAACATAAACTGGCGCACGATAAACGTCGACGCCTACGACCCGGACTCTGCGTTGAACTTTCCCCTTTCCACCCTCCTCCCAGCCAACCTACCCGCACCCTCCACATCCTCCGAGTCAGCACAGCTAGGCCAACAAATCCGGCAACTCCTCCGGGCAGGGGACAGCCTGGGTGCTCTACAGTCGGCGCTGGAAACCGCCCCTCTGGCAGGCGACGAGGGCGCAAAGCAAGTCCACCTCACCACCGTCTTGGAGGTGCTGCAAGGCATCAGGCAGAGCGATGTCAGTCGGATATTGACGGAGATGCTGAAACAGCCGGGCGGCGCGGCGCTGGGAGATACCCTGATGAAGTACATATACAAGGGCATGGCCAGTGGGAGCAGCACCGGTAGCGGCAAAGGAGTGAGTCCGCAGGTGACCGGGACGGGGTTCAGTCAAATTCAATCGCGGAACTTTGGAGAAGGTGGAGGTGGTCAGGTCATGAGTGTGTTGCTGAGCTGGCATGAGAAGCTGACGGAGGTCGTGGGCGTGGGCGGGATTGTGAGGGTCATGTCTGATCGACGGACGGTATAAATACATGTCAACAAGCGGGTCTAACCTTCCACACTCTCCTATAACACCGAGGAGTTCATGGGCCGGTCGTACTGACGGGTGGTCTGCTGAAATGGAAAGACATCCCTGGGCAGATGTCAAAGATAGACGAATGGCACGATGCTCAACACAATGGGTAATTCCAGGACAGGGTATCTCTCCGAGACCTGGCTGCTATCAACAGGGGATTTTCCCATCAACAGTCCACTCTCCCAATACCAAGGACCATCCAGTAACTCAACTCTCTCTTCCCATCATCCGCGTCCTCCCCGTCTTCGAGCACCTTGTCCCTATCCCGTTTCCTTCTTTCCACAATACCCGCAGTCTCGTCCTCGGTGACGGTCCATTCCAGCCTGACTCTGATAGGAATCTCGATGACGTCCTCATCTCCGCCCAGATCCTCGCTCACGCCTCTCAAAATGCTCGCAGGGATAATCTCAATTACTACGCTCGCCCAGTTGCGGCCCTGGTCGTACAATTTGCCAGCGATTTGTTCTCCACCAGCGGTATTGGCACCTCCCACTGCCTGAGTTGGAGGCTTGTTCAGTGCGTCGTCCCAAGCGTCGCTATTCTTCCCGATCTGAAACTGAGGGCACAAGATGGTGACCCGATGCCCATGCTTTCCCGGTGTCACGCTGGGGCTTCCCAAGCTGACATTGACGTCGTCAAACAGCGGATTGCGCAGTGTCATGATAAACTGGACAGGCTTCCCAGCTGCAAGGACAATGTCGCTTCCATCTGGTCCAGGAGGAGACAAGCCACCCGGAACTGGAAGCGGCTTTATGGTCACAAAGGGGATATAGCTGAGTGCAATCAGCTTGATGCGGTATCGTGCAGACGATATCTTCAGCTCGGGTCGGGTGAGGATGTGTTTGCAGGTCGCACAGCGCTTGGATCGTTTGGTACGCATAAGTGTGGGCATCGGTCTGAGATCTGAGACTGTGCGCGCTCGAGGATTGCCAATAAAGGAAGGATTTTGAGAGGTTCTTTGTGCCATGGTTGTGGTCTCGTCGTATTCGCAAGGCGTGGCACTTTGTGGGTCGTACAGTTTGAGTCCTTCGCCCACTGCGCGAGCTTCTCGCATGATCGTAAGCTTCTGTCGAGCCCGTTTAAGCGAGTTCTCTCTGTTGGTATAGATGTTCATGATACGTTGGAGTGACGATGGGGACGAGTAGGCCATGTCCAACGCGGAAGTGGGAAAGCCCGCATCCATAGCTGAAGATTCGGCGATTTGGTCCTTGTAGAATGCCTTCAGGGCGCTGAACCTCGCCGTTGAATCCAGAGATGGCCGTGACTCGGTTGGCTCTCTGGCTTCCACGGCCTCTCTTATTTCTTCCGGCAATAAAGGTTGCCGTGAAAGCGATGATTTGCGTGCGGGTTCATCATGGTGTTGTGGTGGTGATTTCAAGGTCGAAGGCCTGCGTTTGCCTCCATTTGCAATTTCATCAAGCTGGCCGCGGACGCCGGTCGGTTTGTCAAGCTTGATACCAACATCGAGGGTGCTCCACATGCAGTAGTTGCAGTTGAGGATGAATGGTCCGTCTTTTGGGTCGCCGATGGAAGTGGTGATCATCTGGGACGTGCAGATGGGGCAATGAAAGCAGTTTCGAGGGCATCTATTCCCTTCACCCCTAACCATTACCCTGGGACTCTCAAAGAGACAGTCTGGACAGTAGGTCGCATTGATCTCCTCGGTCACGCAACGAGGGCATTTGATCTCGTGGCATTCTTCGCAGTACAACAAGTGCTCAGGGGGGAAAAGCGAGAAGGCAGAACGTGGATGCCGCGGATCAAAGGTCTCTTCACCGTCTTGAACTCCCTCAAAGTCGACATCGCGGGAGGATCGCTTCGACTTCAAGGCTCTATTGGATGCATCTGAACAGGGGCAAGAGACGAAAGTGTAAGGGAATGTTGTTGCCATGGCGCAGGTCTGGGTCCCGTCCTGCGCTCAAAACTGCCACAATTTCATGTGAGAGCATATCATTCTGCGGCAATAAGCTCTGTTTCGAATGATAAAGATCATTGACTTACCTTCTCTCTGGCCCTTATTCGAGGCCTTGTCATGCTGTCGAAATGGACGCGGTCACGGCTGACCTTCCCGCTACGATGCACAATGGGCGCAGATATTGACATCATGCCGCAGATGAACCAGGACGAGAACGAACGATATTATCACTCCCCAATGTCAACTTAACCGGTGATCTGGGCTACTGTACCAGATATATCCCACAATGAAGCCTCCTGCGCTGCGGCCGTGGCTTCCTACTTCAGCTCTACGACGGCGTCCTTGCTTCCGCAGGCTTTACGCTATACAGTCGCCTGGTGGCCCAACTCTTCAGGTCTTCAATGAGAACGTGAAGTACCTCCAGAAAGAACGGGCGGCAGCAAACGCAGAATACAGCCGCAAGGTCGATTATCTGAAGGACGAGGTGGCCCAGCGACTTGTCGACCGTCTACTCGACATCAACCGCCGGTTTCCCCACGTACTCGACTTGGGTGCCAACAGCTGCAACATTGCACGAGCGCTCTCTAAGCCGCCTCTAATTGCGCCAGAACTGCCAGAAGGAGCTGCAGAAGCCAAGATTCCTCTCTCGGAACGGATAGAACACCTCACCTGCGCAGATACTTCTCCCACCGCCCTCCATCGCGACGATTCACTCCCTGAACCCGCAGTTCCAATCACTCAAGAAGTCCTCCCTTCCCTTGAGACCCTTCCTTACGAAGCCAACACTTTCGATGCTGTTCTCTCTTCTTTGTCCCTCCATTGGATCAACGACCTTCCCTCGGTGTTATCAAGCATAAACAACGTTCTCAAACCTGATGCCCCCTTCTTAGCAGCCATGTTTGGCGGAGATACCCTCTACGAATTACGCTCATCGCTACAACTAGCCGACCTGGAGCGCCATGGCGGTGTTTCGCCGCATATATCACCTTTAGCAGATGTCAGAGACGTGGGGAACCTGCTTGGTCGAGCTGGGTTCAAGCTTCTGACGGTTGATGTCGACGATATAATAGTTGAATATCCCGACACATTTGCCTTGATGACGGATATCCAAGCCATGGGCGAAGGAAATGCGATTCTCAAATCTATGGGCGGTCCCATCAGTCGGGATGTGTTGCTGGCAAATGAAGCCATATACAGGGAATTGCACTGTAAAGAGGACGAAAAAGACAGGATACCGGCTACCTTTAGAGTGATCTACATGATTGGGTGGAAGGCTAGTAAAGGACAGCCACAGCCTCTCGAAAGAGGGAGTGGAAATGTCAACATGAAGGACATACTGGGTGGGGGAGAATTCATATAGCAGTAATGCTGTACACAAGTCAATGAAAAAAGGGCACATGGGCAGTTTGAACCAATATTTTGTCGTCTAATCGCCGCTTGAAAAATGTCTGCTAGGCAGTTTGCTTCAGGCTTCAATCCTCATTTGAAAGGCACTCCATTTTTGGCTCGAACCAAGCCACAATGCTCCCTGTAGCATACCACAGAGATCCGGTTCACCCATACAACGAGACTTCAGGAAGGGTGGAAATAGACTGGCTGGCCTCCGCCCGAAGGCATCTGCGCACTTTAGTCTCTCTCATATCATAGCCATGTCACCAGCCCGTCCTCCTGCATTTTTCCGATCTTGCTACACCCCACATGTCGTCTAGAAGTCGGTGGCGCTGCTCATGGGGAACTCGAAGCCGCAAACCCGTCCAGTCAATTTTCGGTACACCTCGGAGTAGGTGTCGAGTCTGTAATCCACACCACCCCGTTCCTTCTCATCCAGAATGACCTTCAACACCTTGCTTCCGTCCTCTTTGGTCCTCAATCTCTTGCCCACAATCTCAACAGGGTAGACAACATCGGCGAGGATGGCGTCGTGGACGGCAGTCAGAGTGCGGCTTCGGGGACGCTTCTGGGTCTGGCTGGTGCGAGAGCGGTTGGAGCGCTTGGGGCGGGGAAGGATGCGGCGCGAGGCGAGGATCAAGACGTGGCGGTCAGAGAATTTCTTCTCGAGTTCACGGGTCAGACGCTGTTGGACCTTGTGGAAGCCTGCGAGCAGGGGGACGGGGACGAAGACAACGATGGCGCGCTTGCCGTGGCCGACTTCGAGCTGAATGGACAGAAAAATCTCGTTAGCTTTTGATATCTTTTATCTCTCGGTCTCCAGGGCTTTGTAGCAGGATAAATTCCCGTAGTATACACAGGCACTCATACCTCGCGAGCAGAGACAAATTGGAGCGGTCTCAAAGCGACCTTGAGGTCTGGGATGTTGGTCTCGAGTTCATAGAGAGCGGTTGCGATGCTGGTTTCCAACTCGGAAGGGTGTTGCCTCGAGGGGCTGTTGTGGGCGATCTTGTTGAGGGCAGGTTGAGACATGATTGCGACTTGAGAGGTGTCAAGCGATTCGCAATCTGTAGTTGTCCCAGAGGTTTGAAGGTTGGTGGTGGTAGTAATTGAAAGCCTTGCGGTGTGTGTGTGGACAGTGATCGGGGCTCCCAATCCGCAATTTCTGGGAATTCGCCAAGATTTTCGTGCGTTGCCCTAAACTCCGAAAGGGAAGAACGTTTGTGGGAGAAATATCTCACCGTATATTCTGCACTTCATGCATGACACCTCGCCGTATTCACTTCTGCCAACCACAACCCAAAAATTACCACCATCTCACGACCATCAACGACCAGATTGCCACACCTTATAAATCATGGAGTTTAAACCTGTCTCTTTCGTCTGCTGATAAATTCTAAATCCTCTTCTAGATATCGATTAACTCCACTAGCGACAACGCCGAGATGCTCTGCCCGTTAGAGAAACATGGAGCTTCTACGGAGCGCCTTGTGCTCGGCGGATTTTGAGGGCCAGAGGGCCCAGAGAACGATTTCAAGACACGACTTGGGTTTGTCATGCAGACATGGCTTTAGCCCCATATCTTTCCAAGCAGCGTTGCGCTGGACACGTAAACGTCAATATTACCACGACATTAGGAAATTCATCCGACAGAAACAAACGGACGATTTAACCCCACCGTTTAGGCAATGAGCAGACCCTAAGCGACTTAGCTGGTGTCCCGAGCTCTACCGAACATCCAACCATTCACACCCCTTCTGTCCGGAGATAAGCAGCGACCTTGGTCATTGAGGTTTTGTGCAAGTGGAGCATATAAAAGGTATGTAAAACGACTTGCGTGACTTCATATATAGGTCCCAGATTTGCATGTGGCTTTCCTGTAGTCTCCTCAAAAATCAATCTCGACCTTGAACCTATTTTATACGGTCTTGTCATCTCTCAAATTCCCCGTGCTGCTCTGTGAATACTTCCACCAAACCACATCCAACATGTCCCTTCCTAAGACTACCCCTGCCTGGGTCATTGAATCCACCAAAGCCGACACACCAGGGTGGGGAAACCTCAAATATGTCGAGGATTACCCTGTCCAAGAACTGGGCGAGAACGATTGCTTGGTCCAGATTCAAGCAGTTTCTCTCAACTATCGAGACCTGATCATCCCAAAGGTAAAGCGCATTACCTCTACGAAACCCGAAATTGAGACATGGTATACAGGGCCTCTATCCATTGCCGCTCAATATCCCCTGTGTTGCGGCCTCGGATGGTGCAGGCAAAATCCTCGCCGTGGGCTCCAAAGTCACGCAGTTCGGAGAAGGTGACAAGGTTGTCACTCAGTTCACCCAAGCGCACCAATATGGACATGTTACGGCGGACATGATGAGCACGGCCTTGGGCGGCACTGCCCATGGTTGTCTACGCAAGTATGCCGTCTTCCCAGCTTCGGGTCTCGTGCATGCACCGTCCAACCTTACTCCAACTGAGGCGGGGACCTTGACTTGTGCGCCCCTCACGTCGTGGAATGCCCTTTTTGGCCTTCAGTCTCGAGCCTTGAAACCTGGAGACGTGGTTCTTACTCAGGGAACAGGGGGTGTGTCTCTTTCGGCCCTTCAGTTCGCCAAAGCTTCTGGGGCGACAGTCATTGCGACAACCTCGTCAGAGGAGAAGGCCAAGCGTTTGGAAAAGCTGGGAGCCGACATTGTCATCAATTACAAGAAGGACCCGAACTGGGGAGAGACGGCGAAGAGCCTTTCGCCTGGTAAAGTGGGTGTGGACCATATTATTGAGGTTGGCGGGCCTGGCTCGATGGCTCAGTCCCTCAAAGGTGCGTTCATCATTTGTCTCCCATGTACAACGTCTTCTGACACCCATATCTAGCGATCAAACCCGAAGGTGTGATTTCCGTGATCGGATTCCTGGGTGGCCCCAAAGCGGAGGACGAGCCCAGCACGCTGGCGGCCCTGTCTGCAGCCTGCATCATTCGGGGCATCTTGATAGGATCCAAGGCGCAACTGATCGAGATGAACCGGTGCATTGACGCGAACAACATTCACCCGGTGGTGGACGAGAAGACGTTTAGCTTCAAGGATGCGCACGAGGCTTACGAATACCAGTGGCAGCAGAAGAACTTTGGCAAGGTTGTGATTCAGCTCTGAGCGAATTTTTGGTCTTGATGCGAGAACAGGTCAAGCCATGTAATGAGAACCACCTGCATACATACAACATGCGCAGGGAGACCACTTACCTAGTCACTCGGTTGACAAGTCTGGGAGCCAATGAGTACCAAGTTGATTAGCAAGTGATTCAGGAGTACATACATACCTATTACGTACCTATAGTCCCAATGCATGTGCAAATCCCCAGCCTTCTGGAATATCTACTAGATACCCAAATGTCTCGTGTCTGCGCTCTTTGTCTCTTCCACATCCACCTCCCGATCTAAGTAAGGTACCCGGCCCTCCTAGTCATTCTGTCTGTCCGGTATACCTCGAAGCGACATTCACAAGTCTACCTAACCGAAGACACGACAGGGATATCGCACAACATCGCATGATATTGCATGTATATGCACGCCCAACACTAGTATACTT